AAAAAGGGGATAGAGATGAATGTCCATTTTGTATCTGTGTATTCAAAATGGGTAGGATAGATATATAGTTACATTCTCTTAATGAATATAGGGATTTTTTTTAATAGTGTTTGTAAATAGGATATCATGTCCGCATCTTGTACAGTAAATAACCACTAGAAAGAATGTATGCAATGTGTTAATTATTGAAACTGTCCTACTGATTTGATTTGAAACTGTCTCATTGCTATTTGTTTCTTAATAAAATTATGGGGGAAAAAACTGCATGAAGGGGCTGGGGAAATGGCTCAGTAGAATAAGCACTTGATGGGCAAACACAAGGGCCTGAGTTCAACTCCCAGTTCTGAAAAAAAAAAAAAAAAAAAAGAAAGAAAGAAAACTAGATGAAGGCCCTCCAAGGGTAGTGCCCTAATTGCCCAACTCTCCTACTCCCAACGTTTCCATTAGCTCCCAACACCACTACTGAGAACTGACCTCCCATGAGCCCAGGGAGAGACACACTCAGATCAGCCCCACGCCATGCATTCTGTGCGGGAACATGGCCAAGCAGTCATAGAAAGCTGCCAGAGATTTCAGTTGGGTTTTAAGGGTAAACACATTAGTTGTTCCAAGGAGAAAATGCACTTATTTATAACACATTATAATAAATTCCATGGGACATGGAACCAGCACAAAGCCTAATATGTCACTCAGCATTGGTCTTTAAGCACTAACACTAGTCAACACATGGGGCTTTAGACGCCATGAAGGGTCACACTCCAGCCACAGGGCCTGATCAGCGTTAGAGCAAATGCTGCTCCAGACTCACCTTAGCAAATGTCAGCAACGAGGTTAGGAAACAGTAAGTTTTGTATGATATTTTTACATATTTTTAGTGATACGTTATATATTTTCCCACAATAAGTTTTAGAAAAATGAAACTGATTAATAAGTAAATCGACTGCTACTCAAAACAAAATTCACAAGGAGCTGACAACAAAATCCAGATTCTGAACATTGCAGTGCCCAGCATTTAAAGATTCCTAAATATGCCAAGAAGCAGGGAAAATGTGACTCTTCATGAAAAGAAAAATCAGTCTAAAAACACAAAGTGATAAAGGAGAGAACTTTAAAAGAGCAATTATCGATATGCCCCAAGTTTCTTTTAAAATAAGCCTTTTCAGAAATGAAATTGTAAAAAGAGAACAAAATGGGGCTTTAGGGGTGCTTAAAAATGTATCAGAAAGGAAAAGCTGCATTGACTGGACAAAAAGGAGTAGGTGATGCAGAAAAAATAACCAGTGTACGGCAACAGGAACTACCCTGGAGCGCAGAAAGACGAAGATCTTTAAATAATTGCATAGAGCCTAAATGACTTGTGGGACAGTACCAGGAGAGGGTAGAACAGGAAAAACAAGTAATGGCCTTACAATCTTCAGTTTGTACGAAAACCCCAAATTTGAACATTCAAGAAACCTTAAGCAGAAAAATAGCACACACACACAAAATCATTCCATGGCATATTATAATCAAATGGATGAAAAGTAGTGATAAAGATAAAATCTTCAAAGCAGTCAGAGAGAAACACATAATGCAATGGGGCAAACAAGCTCCAGGTGGCTGCTGGCTTTTCACTAGAAGGAAGTGTGCACCAGAATGACACCTGAAAAGGGCCAAAAATGTCATGTTCGGTCGGATGTATAATACATGTAAAATAAGAATGACAACACATGTACAAAGGACAAGAGGCAAGAAATAGAAACATTGTCAGGCTTCCATATGTGAAGTAAAATGATTTTATTTCATAATGAAGACTGTGATAATTTTTTTTTTTTTTTTTTTTAGCGGAACCAGGGATTGAACTCAGGCCCTTGCACTTGCCAGGGAAGCACTTATTCCACTGAGTCATCTCCCCAACCCCTGTGATAAATTTAAATATAGACATTATATATCTCAGAGCAAACACTAGTTTTCCTTTTGCCAAAAAAGCACAGCTAATAAACTGAAAGTGGAGATATAATGGAATATAAAAAAATACACAATGAATCAAAAATAAACAGAAAAAGAGGAAAAAGGTGAAGGCAAGTAGGCAAACAGCGTGATGGTGGAATTAATTGTTATATTAAATATAAATGTTTTGAATGCCCTGTAGAAGGCAGAGACGATCAAACTGAATGCATAAGACTTCACAATATTACATGCATTTTGCAGTGGATTGGGAACATTAGAACTCTTGTAGTAGCTGATCAACTCAGTTCCTGGAGTTCCAGAAAGCTACTCATTACCCTTTATTAAATTTGTTTTCTGAGAGCCTGCAAGCAGGTTCAGGGGCTGGGGGTTCAATCCCCAGGCCTGTAGTGCCGGCCCCGCCCCCAGGGTGCACTGAGACAGCAATTGAGACTGGGCGTGGTGGTGCGTGCCTGTAATCCCAGCTCTTGGGAGGCTGTAAACAGGTGGATCACTACGAGTCTGATCTAGTAGTAAGACCTTGAACACTCTGTAGACCCTTCCCTGAAATACAGAAAAAAAAAAAAATTGTTTTCTGACTAACTCCCCCAACAGGCCTGTGAGTCCTGCTACCCACGACCCTAAGCATGGCAAAGAGATGTGGCCTGCACAAGTCCAAGAGCACAGCCCAGGCCTCAGGGATTCACCTCTCCTTCCTTCCCCAGCAGTCAGTATGTGCACGTGCTGGTTACAGATGTTGTTACAGTTTGTGTATAAGCGTCCCCACAAAGCCTCAAGCAGTCATGGGGTAGCTCCTGGAGTTTGTGATTGATTATTGTGGGTGTGGATTTGCATTACAATGTAAGGAGGAGAAAGAGGCTAGCTAGCTAGCTGCCGGAGCTGCTACCAATCCCTTGGCCTTTTTGCTCTTTGCCACTGCTGTGAACTGCTGCCCTCCACGTTGTGCCACTCTGCCTTGGAGCCAGCTGAGTATGGACTGAAACCCCCAATGACTATGAGCTAAATAAACCTTTTCATCCTTCATCTTGGGTGTCAGGTATTTGTCCCAGCAATGAGAGAAGAGTCACTGAGACAGATGTGTACTGCTCTGTGGGTCAACACTAAATGAGGGTGTCATTGAGTTCTACTGTCAAGAAGGGCCAAGTCCCGCCACTTCCTGCAGTGTGTTCCTTAGGTGAGAGTAGTATTTAGGATGCAAAAAGTACACACACCAAGCACCAAAGAAATACAGTCTTCCTAAATCAATAGAGGAGAAAAGTGTCTACTCTTTTGTCCACACACCCACTTCCAAGCTCTGTCTGCCCCTCATCTGCATGGCCAATTTATAGTCACAATTTCTAAACATGAGCAAAAAGTAAAGCAAAAACATAAAACGGGGAGCAAATATGATTTCTACCCAACTCATTTCCTAATGGACTCATATGGCCCCTGATTACAGCTGAAGTGGAATTTGTACACTCAGAGTCAGATGCGTTTATCAGGTTACCAGGACAACCAGTAACCAAGGAGAGTGACAGCCTCCTGCTGCTTATGGCTGAGGATGGAAATAATGTTAGTCGTTTGTGTGAAGACTGGATTTGGGCAATTAACTGCTGTCTCCAAGAAGAAAAATGCTTGCAATACAGCTGCTCATCTAGGGGCAGGGCACTGTGGGGTCTGAACTGAAGTGCCAGCACCTGCTATCTGCATGACGGATTAGCCCAGCTTCAAACCTCGGCTCCCTCATCTCTAAAATTGAAATATGGAGCCCGACTTTGTGACACTGTTGGGAAGGATTCTGTGTGCTCATAACTGTTAAGTATACAGTGCCAAGGGCACCTATATAGTATTTTTATTTCACACGCTGTCACTCAAACCACATGGTAATTAATATTAGCCACTCTCTACTGCATTGTCTCTACATGCTGTTAATCTGCACAATAAGCCTTTAAAGTATTTGAATCTATTTTAGAATTCTTTTTTTTTTTCTAGTACCAGGGATCAAACTCCAGACCTTGCGCTTGCCAGGCAGGTGCTTATGCCACTGAGCTACATCCCCAGCCCCTATATCTATTTTAGAATTCAGCCTTCAGTGAGGTTAGGTCATGTGTCCATAGTCACACAGTTGTGGAAAAGTCAAGCCGTAGGCCCAGGATTAGTCTAGGCCTTTCATGAATTTCTGTACTTACCCAGTGTGTATTTACTGAGCACTTACTACTCTTAACCACCACACAAATTTGTGTCTCTCTGTGAAAGATGGTTATCTCTCAGTGAGCACCCAAGGCTGGTGCTGCACCTTACTGAATTATAAAGTGGTTTCTCACAATTGTTAAATCACTCACCCATGCTCACAATGACACTGATTTAGGCTTCGTTCTTTTCCTAAAATCTTCACACATGTTACTGTTTTTCCCAGCAAACAGAAGATGGGCTTTGCAGATTTTCTCCACAGACAGCCATCCCCTCTGGCAGGGATGAGATCCGCAGCCAGACCCCTGAGGCTTCCCCAACCCGAGCTCCCGTTACCCAGACCTCTCTACTGCCACCTTGGCTCAGGTATGCTTTGTTTTGTCACCTAGATCCCTTCACTTAACCCTCCCATTGCTCTGTGATGCACTGTATCTTCACTGTCTTACAAAGGGAGAAACCCCAGGCCCAGGCAGGACCTTCCTTCCCCCGGGGAATCTGGGTTAAACAATTTGCTGTGGGTGGTGCAGGGGGATTTGGATCCAGGCAGTGCTCCAGGCCTGAGCTTTCAGTTGGTGAAATTTTTCTTGTTTTTGCTGAGGGGAAAGAATTCATTTCCCGAAGTGAAAAGCCCCTTTGACACAACTCAACCCCACGTCCACAACTCCTGGCTCTTAGCGGTGTCACACAGCCTTAAGAGTGTCCGGTCTGCTGGAAAAGAGCCCGCAGTCTCTAATGACAGTGCGTCCTCAGAGAGCAGCTTTAATGTGCACACAAGCAGGAGTGCAGAAGGGTCTGGGCCTGGAAACAGGAACTAAGAGGAAAAGACAGAAGTGAGGGAAAGAACGGAGCTGAGCTCGCTCGCTCTCTGTAAACCCGGGCCTCACCTTCTGCAGCTTCTTCCGTTCAGCCTCAGCGGAGGAGCGCACTGACTTGATTTCTGCCGAGTGCTTCTTCACCAAGTCTTCCAGGTGCTGCAGGAGCTGGTCTTGCTGGTGTTTCCTCTCCTCTTCAGTCTGTCGTCTGAGCTTCAGGAGGTCTTCTTCGTAACGGTGCTTCATGTATTCTGTCTCAACACTTGCCTCTTTCTCAGTCTATTAAAAAAAAAATCAGGATCTTGTAAAACTACTGCGAAGGGCCAAGGTCCAGGGACTCACCACTTCTGCTTTATGTAACTCCTACAACATTTATATACTGGTTTTTATAGCATGTATCTGAAGGTGCAATGAATTTTATAAGACTATATAGTTGATTGTTTATAAGAAATTTTACTTTCTCGTATTGGAAGAGGACTCTTTGGAGTAATAGCTCTATTGTCACAGGACCAGACGTTCTAGAACATACTATCATCATTTCTAAAAGACGCTTTGCTTGCTTTGATGGGGAATATGTGGTAGGTTTGTAAGCAATTTCTAATTTCCCAGGAGCTGGCCTACAGAGTGGGACAAATTCTGCCCTATTTTCCTAGTTTCAAGTGGTGTGGGATTGGTGGCAAGCCAGCTGGAACTCCATTCTTGATTTATTTCATTGTGAAATCATCAGACCTAGTGATTTCACCGGGATCCCTTGTGGTTAGGGAATGACCTCCACCTGAAGCTCATGTAGCAAAGCCCTCTGTGACTTCTCTGTCCCCTGGCTGGTCTTGTCCTACCTGTGTATCTGTGCCACCATTCAGGCTGGGACCCTCCTTGGGAAGGCCTTGGTCCAGCTGAGGATGAAGACAGTGGGCTTCCAGGGCATCTGCTTCCCCTAGAGTGTCATTCTTAGTCTTCATGGCACCTGCAACATAAGTTTCCACGTCAGCTGAGATGCTCTTGGCCTCGGCCTCACGTTGAGGGCCTTCTGCAGTCAGGTCCCTGTTGTGCTATTCAGCCCTTCTGTCTACCATTCTTCTGTGTCATTCTGCCCTGTGCACTGCTGGTCTTCAAGCATGATCACCGTAGTGACTGTCACCTTGGCTCAAGCAGTGTCTGGAGCTTAAATAACTGCTGCGTTCTCCCTGTGTGAACCCGTGATCTACAATTTTTGTTTGGATTTCATACACATTAAAAATAGAGCGTGTTTCCCAGCATAGGTACATTCATAGGAATTGAAAGCATGGAAAAAATAAATTTAAATAGAATCACTACTTTTTTTTCTTTTTTTCCCTGTTCCCTAGGGTAGTCATGCCCTAGTTTTGAAGACCAGCATTCTACACTCTCAATGCCTTTCTGGTTCATCTCAAATCTCTCCTCCTCCTCACCAGTCCAGCCCATGGAGTATCATTTCCTTGGTATCTGGACCACTCCCCTGACACCAGAGCATGCCTGGGACTGAAGTGTGACAGTCCCATAAGTTCCCAGAGAGTAGAGCCCATGTTTTTGGCTTTGGTGTTGAGCTGGTCATATTGTGGGTGTTTGGGGAATTTTCTGTTCAGAGAGCCTTGTGGATTCAGACATTCTTAGATACTCATACTGGCTTTCTCATCAACCATCTGACTCACACTGACCCAGTCACCATCCTCTCTCAGGCCCATTTCTTTATCTGTAACGTGGGAGGATGACCATACCTACTATGGAGAAAACCTAACAATGTGTGTGAAAAGATACATTACAAAGCCCTGTTTAAAGATGGTGAGGAGAGGACTAGCCAAATAGCTTAGCAGATTAAAGCACCTACAAGCAGATGCAGGGGCCAGGGTTTCAATCCCAGGGCCTGCCTTAAAGGCCTCACCCCCAGAGTGTGCTGAGACAGCAATTGAGACTGGGTGTGGTGGTATGCCTGTAATTCCAGCTCTTGGGAGGCTGTAAACAGGTGGAAAAAAAAAAAAAAAAGATGGAGAGAAGTTAATGCTGAGAAATGCAGGCCTGGTGGGGGAACATTTGGGGACAAGAAGTCCTTTCTTATCACATCTTTGTAGTTGAGGCAGTGAGGAATGAGCCCAGGACTTTCAAACTGAGTTGTATCTCCAGTTCCTTTATTTTTAAAATTTTGTGACAGGGTCTAAGTTGCCTAGGGTGGGCCCAAACTTTCAATCTTCCTGTCTCAGCTCCCTGGAAGGCTGACATTAGAGGTGTGGGCCTCCACTCCTGGCTTTACATCCCACAGTTTAGATGTCTGGCCTACGCCAGCTCCGGGTGAGCAGGTCTAGGTGACAGGGATGGCTCACCTGTGCCCCACAGGGACTGGGCTGATCTACCCAGCAGGCCAAAGCCCTGCCCATCGCCCCACTCCCCCTTGGAGTCTAAAGGCCTCCAGAAGCCCCAGGCCTCCTGGCAGCTGACCATCAGTCTGTCAGGACCTGTGCTGGGCATCTCACCTGTTTTGGGTGTCACATGACACTCCTGCAGCACCAGTCTGTCTTTGGCAACAGCCAGCTTCTCCCCAAGCTTTTTGGCCGTACTCTTCAGCTCTGAATTCTCCTGCCGAGCCTCCCTCAGCTGCACATCCAGGTCCTAAAGGACAGGAAGGGCCTCAGTTCTCTGCTTAGGGCTCTGTATAGAGACCAGCTGCATACACTGAACAGCTGTCAGATCTGAACAGTGGGTGAGCTCCCAATGGGAGCGCTGGGTCCCTGACCCAGTGGGTCACCAACTCCTGTGCATCTTCTGATTGGCTGAGCGGCCCTGGGCAGGGCACTTCATCTTTCCCTAGTGAGGATTCAATGAGCTAAAGTGTTCAGTAGAGAAAACAAGTGCTCAGAGAGTAGCAGGAATTGTAGCTGCTGCCACTTTCAGAGATGAGGCTCTGGGCTTTCTTGGGACTCGGGTACTGACTCAGGGATGGCCCTGTTCTCTATCCACACAAAGGTCCTAGGGCTTTTAGTGGAGGGAAGTTTTTCTAGAATGGACACAGACCTCAGAATGAGGCTCACTGGAGCTCAAGCCCTTTTTCCCTGTGTGCCCAGCTAGACCTGTCTTTATGGCTCCGAATTTTTCATTTATAAAATCTCTAAGTTCCCCGAGGTGAGGGGCAGAGGCTAGCTTAGCACGCATCCCCTTCCTATAGCTGAGGGCCGGCCCACAGAAGTGTTCAGTAGGGGTTTGCTGAGAGAACGCAGCTGGACTCTGTGGAGATAGTGCTGCCTTGCTAGAGTCAAGCTGCTAGCCCAGCGCCCGCAGCACGCAGGAGCTCTGCCTTGGCTGCCCTGCCTGCCATCCCGTGGGCTGGGGAGGGGCGCACTGCCTTTACCTGAATCCTGTCCTTCAGCTTCTGGGCATATTTCTTCAGGTCACTGATCCTGCGCCCCCTGTGCTCCAGGTCCCCTTCCAGCTTCCTGACCTGGGCCTGCAGGGCCGACTCCTGCACCTGGAAGTTCTTGCGGAGGTCGCTCTCCTTCTCCTGCCACTGCCACAGGGCTTCGCTCACCGACTGCTGCATGGCCTGCCGGATGGCCTCGTTCTCCCGCTCATAGCTGGCTTGCAGCTCCTCCGCCTTGCGGGCGTAGTCCTGGCTCAGCTGCTGGTTCTCGGCCCGCAGTCGCTCCACCTCCAGCAGCACCTCTTGCATCTCTGGGCCCTGGCCGAGCTCGGCCTTGGCGTCGGGGCTCTCCTGGGAAAGCTGGCCCCAGGGAGGGCCCTCATGATGCGCCAGGCGCCGCAGTCTCTTCTCGTAGTCAGCCTTGAGCTCCAGCATCTCCTTGGAGAGCGTGAGCACCCGCTCCGCGTGCTCAGCCTCCACCCTCAGCTCTCTCTCTTTGGTCTGCAGCCTGCATGTGGCCGACTCAGCCAGGGCCTCCTGGGTCAGTTTCTTCTGCATCTCCAGAGCGCTCTCCAGGGCCTGGATTCGCTGCAGCAGGGCCTCCTGGTCATCTTTGGGGCAGCCGCGCTCCTGCAGAAGCCGGGCCTTCGTCTCCGCCACCGCGCTCTGGAGCTCCTCCTGCTGCGCTTCACGCAGCGCCTCCATGCTGGCCTCGGCTTCGTCCTGGCGGGTGTTCAGGGCATAGATCACCTGTAGGAAAATCCACAGAATCCGGTTAGGGCAAGAGGCCGGGTGTGCGTGAGGGTGCCTGGGTCTGGGGATGCTGAGTCCGAGGATACTCGTTGCTCTTTGCTAGAAGAGATCATCCGAACTCCCCACAAACAGGGTCTGAGAAAAGAATTTGGGTGACACTGGTTTATTAGAACCTGTTTCTGGCAGAAGCAGTGACAGAGCAGGGAGGTGGGGCAGAGGGGCAGTGCCAGCAAAGCCAGGGACTGGCCAACACGGGGAGGGGGGTGAGAGGGCTGCATAGGACGACCTCGAGAGTGTGGCAGGAACGCAGGGAGGTGTTTCCCCGTAAAGATGGGATGTGGTATCAACATTTTCAAAAAGAACACTTTGGATTGCAAAACCCAATAAAAATTTTTAAAAGCAAATCCAATAACATTCTCAACAGATTTGAAATAACCATTTGAGAAAATTCCATTCTTCCATGATGAGTGATGAAAACTCAGGGCAACTTCTCAAGCCAAAAAAGCACCTCTACAGAAGAGTCATGGTTGAATATCACATTCCAGTGTGAAAGATAGAATGCTTCCTGCAGGGCAGCAGGGACAGGACAAGAATGTCTTCCCCTTCCTCTTGTGACACAAAAGGAAGATGTTCCGCCTGCTGTGTGATTAGGGTGACGGGAGACAGGGACAAAGTGGAATCAAGGACTCCCAGGAGGTTCTGAACTGGAGAACTGCAGGTTGAATATGTATGAAAAGCAAGAACTCTCTTTAGGCCTACTGAACTCCACAGGCCTCCAGAGGTCCCCGTGGAGGAGGCACCAAGGCAAATAGGTAAGTGTCCCAAGCTCAGAGAGGCAGCCCGAGCTACAGATGAAGGAGGTACAGAATCAGGACACTGTTACTATAATATTGTATGTATATGGTTAGATTTCTAAATTTCTGTGTAAAAATATGTAATTGTTTGTTCCTATTTTAAAAATTGTTTTCTTTTTTTTTTCTTCTTCACATTCTGTAGGGATTTAAAGTTTAACATATCACTACTTGATGGAAAATACCTTTCCCATGTTATGTCTAAGACATTTGGTATTCAGACAGATAGGGAGGTTAAGCTCAACTGCCTATGTTAGAAGGTAATAATATTATTAAGCTTCTCTTTTGGAGGGTTAATGACTTAAGTTTGCAGACCAAAAATTAGAGAAAAAGAAGGGCTGCAAGGACAGCCAACATTTGGCCCTAGCCTTTCAAGGTCAGTGAGGACTCAGGACATAAGAGAACCTATACTATAACATTCTATAACTCAGTGATGTCCCAAATTTTCTGATCAAGGAGATTATGGGGCCAAAGAGGAAAGAGACCAAAGATGTAGAGTGTGCCTAAGGAGAGTCATATGGAGAGAAAACATTCTCTCAGGCTTTCACAGAGAGCACATTGGCCAAGCAATGGCCATGACTCATCCACATGGCTGCCACTGACAAAGGATCTGCAAACTGCGGTATAGGGTTACAGGATAAATCCTGAGGGGATTTGACTGATCTTGTCAGATACAAAAGTTACATTTCTTGTTAAAAGGCCTTGCTTTATCTTGCTTTTAACCATCCAGCAGAAAAGTATAAAAATGAGGAATAAAAACTAAAGCCATGTTAATATGCTGTGCTGTAAAAGGCTCAAGTCAACAACTTCTGGCTTTGTCAGTGCTACAGATAACCCACTGCTGTTATGAACTAGTGGATTCATAGTTCATATATTGGATTATTTTGCTGAATTCACACACCTACAATATTTAAATGGCAATGGAATATCCATCTTTGACAAAACTAAACAAAAAAGGGGATATAAATGAAGGACCATTTTGTATCTGTATACACAAAATAGTTAGGATAGATATACAGCTACCTTCTCTTAATTCAATGAGAAGAAAGATTTGTACTAATAGTGTTTAGACAGGTTATCATGTCTGCGTCTTGTACTATGAACAACCACTATGAAGACAACAATACGCAATGTACCAATTATTAAAACTGTCCTACTAATTGGTTTTGAAACTGTCTCATTGCTATTTGTTTCTTAATAAAATTAATTTAAAAAAAGGAGAATCAGGACAGCGTTACTTGATGACATACTTGTGAGGACAGCTGTGTGAAGACAGGAATGACTGCCCCTCCCGCCATCATAGTAAATCCAGAGGTTGAAGCCCCAGGGATGGAAATGGATATAAAGGATGAAAATCTCTGAGAAGAGTGGGCCACAGAGGTGGGTCCTCCACAGGAGTCAGAGGGAAGGCAGAGGTGGGGACAGGGATGCAGTACCTGCACCTGGAGAACAAAGGAGCTGTCGTCTTGCAGAGGTGAGAAGGTGGCTTCTGTACTGCCAGCAAAGAATGAGGCAAGAACATCAAATAACTGTGCTGAGTTGAGCAGGAGGAGGCGTGGGGTGTGAGGATGGAGGGGCTGGGCACTGGCTATCAGGAAAGGAAGGGAGGAGTCTGGGTTGCCAGGCAGTGCCAGGGATGCTGGTGATTTCTGGTTCCTGCATCAGTTTATTGGGCTGGATGCTAATGTCACTGTCACTGTCCTACTAGTGCTTCACCCATGGTTTCCACACTGTATCCTGAGTCCCCTAGAGGGTGAGAATCATTTCAGGAGGGTGGTGGAGGTTCACAAAGCAGGGACCCTCTCTTCAACCAGACAAAAATAGTATATTTATACTATGGCTTTCCAAACACGTAGCTTTAAAAAAACCAAAATAATATTTCTACTGTGTTAAAAAAAAAAAAGAGTCGGGGCTGGTGAGATGGCTCAGTGGTCTGAAGCACCTACTTAAAACAAGCTTAGCAAAGCATCAGGGACCACTGTTCAATCCCCCAGCACCACATGCCAGCCAGGCCCGCCCCCTGGTGGGCTGAGCTGGCCACACACACACACACCACTCTCTCTCTCTCTCTCTCTCTCTCTCTCTCTCTCTCTCTCTCTCAAATAAATAAATAAAAATTAAAAAAAAAAAAGAGTTGAGGGCTTGGGAGAAAGCTCAGTGGGCTAAGTGCTTGCCTGGCAAGAGTAAGGATCTGAGTTCGATCCTTGGTGTCACATGCCATGCCATCCCCGGAACCCTGGGAACACTGGGCTGGCCACCAAAACCTGGTGTGGTGGTGCATGCCTATAATCCAGTGCTAGAGGGGCTGACACTGGAAGATCGCTAGTAGCCTGAGCTGTGACGCAAGACCCTGTACCAAATAAATAAATAAATTTTTAAAAATTTTAAAAAATAATTGAACCTGGGCACAAGGCACACACCTATAGTCCCAGCTACTCGGGAGGCTGAGGCAGGAACATTGCTGGAGCTCACAAATTTGAGACCAGCCTGGGAAATATAACAGGATCCCATCTAAGAAAAGTTGCAGACCTCAGGTAGTAATTACATAGAGAAGACTAAAGCAATCAGAAATCCTGTATGAAGGAAGTTTAGGGTACATGTATGTGCGTACATGTATACATGCACATAATTACTACATGGTTGCTGAAGTCCAAATGGCAATTCTAGAGGTGATTGATACAAGTGATGGATTTACCAACAACTTACTTAGAGAACACAGACCTTGGAGAAAGAGTAACTAATACCCAGGCTACCGCCTAAGATCTTGTTTTTCACTGTATGGTCTAACAACTGGTTCATTGTCCGTCCTTCCCCCCAACCAAAGCTCCACGACAGAGGAGTGTGGCCTCAGCTGGCACCTACACCCGCGCTGCCAGCTCACGGTGGACACTCTGAGCCAATGGGAAAGAGCAAACGAAGGACTCAGGACTCCTTCTCAGAGAATGCGGCTGTCAAGAGTGGGAGATGAGCTTGTTCTCTGTGAAACTGTGGGAGAGAGCGCACCACCTGGAGAATCAGGAATCCAACATTCTGTGCTGAGGTCCAGGGAGCACTCCCTTCCTGCTCCCAGAAAGACTCCCCAGGGAAAAGCAGCTGTTGTCTTGGTCTCACCACTGCGCGCAGGGGTTGGCCCCTTCTAGCGCTTTCTAGGGCAGCCTAATGAGTGTATCTGGAACAAGCGACATTGAAATCGGTACCTCAGTGGCTGTGATTTGTGTTAGTAATAAAAACTATTTTTATAGATTCTACTGTGTGCCAGCATAGGGACAGGTGCTATATACACATTTATAACATCAGAAAATCCCTATGGCAACTGTGCAGGATAAGTATTTTTCTTCCTATTTTGAGAATGAAAAATTGAGTTTCAGAGAGGTTCAGTAGATTTGCAAAGTCAGAGATTAGCTCTGAGTTACAGGCTCATGTCATGAGCCAGGCCATAGCTTACTGCCTCAGTGAGTCATTTATTTATTCACTCATGGTCCCCATCACCGCTTGGATGGACCAGGTTCCATGCTGGGCACTGAGTCACCTGAGTTTGTGACCTCAGAAATATAGTTCAGCAGGAGAGCCTACCGTGAGGTGAGCATGGCATGTCTCAGTGCACTCTGATGAGGGCCATCAGAGGATCCAGGCGCAGTTACTATGGAAACACAGGGGATCGAGTCGGACAGGAAAGGTGATTTCCTGAAAAACATTAGCTGCACCTCCTCATCCTGCGGTGAGCAATCTGCTTTTTCAGGTCAATCTCCACACAGGCAAGGACGACCCGGCTCTTTGTGCTCCCCTAGGTAGGAAGCTGCATGCACAGTAGGTTCATACGGATTATTGTGGGACTGTTGGGGTCATGCACAGTTACTGCAGGGAGCGGCCACATAGCATGGACCACGTTTCCTAGTTGCTGGCATTTGAGAGGCACCATGTGTCTCCCAGTTGTCAATGGAAACTGGATAGATTGGGTGATGGGTATCATCTTGGGGCAACCCAGGTGCCAAAGTTAAGAAGAGGGTATGTACCAGGAGTGGTGGCACGTGTCTGTAATCTCAGCACTCTAGGAGGCTGAGGCAGGAGGATCACTCAGTGTGAAGACCCCAGCTTCAACCCTCGGTATTGTAAAAGAAAAGAAAAAAAGAAGTGTTTTAGCACAGT